AGACTCCAAGTCATCGTTAATTGTTAATTGTCAAGTGACTTTCACTTGATTTGTGCCTCCTGCCTGGGGGAGGGCCACTCTTGAAAAGTGACACCTCAGCCATCAATCCAAATTCTCATTTCAGAAAGTCCTCCATTTATGCAAATTCTGTGAAGTACTCTCTGGTTTTTCAGGAGTGCAACCTTTGCACGGATCAGTCTGTCTTTCAGGAGCATTGGGAGTTGTAAAACATTTCCACAGGGGGTTCAGCTCACCTCGGAGCAATTGCAGTTTATGCAGTTACTGGATATAAAGTTAAGCAACAAGGCTAATTTTCAAGGCACGTTTCTGGGAAATAACGCTTGTGAAGTCTGTTAAAAATCAAGTTTCCAAACTGTTCTGTGGCTAATGTGGCTTTAGTGAAAGGGCAGTTGGTGTGATCAGATTTCTTGAGGGGGAATATTAAACCAAAGATTGTCATGTTATCAGATTGCCATGTCAAAGTTGCAAGGACTGTTGAGTTCTAGACATGAATTGAGAACCAGAGTAAAACTTTCAAATGGCTCTGCTGAGACAAGAAGAAATGTGTGCCAGGCTGTGGTTCCAGGTTTATTCCTCTAATCAGAATAAAGAGTTTTACCTTCTGTTCACCAGCGTGGACGACATCATCAGCACCATGCAAGCCACATGACAAAGTCACATGATACGCACGCACATGATTGGTTGAAAGGAAAGTGGAGGAGGTCACATGGAAAATACAAAAAAATTAAAAACTGATGTAAACAATGGGCAGGGAGAAAAAAATCAACAACAAAATCACAGACTAAATAAAAGGAGAAATCAAATTAAATTAGCAGCTTATACAGGAAACACTGGGAGGGCAAGTGTACTTCCCAGAAGGAGGAGATAACAAACTATATAGCGCATTTAGTTAACAACACCAATAAGCATTAGATACAGTTGCAACATTGCGTATTAATACCACACCAAGGAGCATGAACACTTTAAAAATGAGGGGGGTATTTCCATCAAGGCCCAGATGTCAATCTAGGACAATCACAGAGACTGTTAAAAAGAAAAAAGAAAAAAGAAAAAAGAAAAGCACATTATTTATTTGCAGATTCCAGAATTGTCTCAGCATCCTTGGGGTAGCAATGGCAGTGAAACAGCTGTAGGTCATCAAGAGAGAGTCCTGAAACAATAATAGATTGTGTTTAATTAATGAGAGTAATCTCATGTTTGTGCTGGCCAACTAGGAGAGGGAAAGGACTGAAGGAGGCTGGGTAGTCACAGGCCAGAAAGGGACAGCTTATAGGGTCTAAATCCACTGTTTTATGACATACCCATGATGTTCCTAACACCCCAAGGGACTCTTCAGAGTCAAGGCACACATAAAAGGAAAAAGTTAGTACAGGTAAAGGACTAGGTGCCCTCTGGTAATTGATACATTGGCTGCATTGATACCAAATAGCAGAAACCAGCCCCTGGTCCAACATGCAGAGAAAGTGACATTTCACGTATACTTGACTACTTATGGATCCAATGACCATATGGAGATAAGAAAGGGGTTTGAGAATTACAGTATAAACCAGGGTTTCCCTGTTTAAGTTCACCTATATTCCTTCTGCAAAGTGTTTTACTACATACTGCAGTTTGGGATTAAATAACAGACCCTAACTTCCTAGGTTTTCTAACAAAACTTTCACAGGCCTGGGGCAAGTTCTAGCTATTGACAGTTGAGGTTAAGAGAAAAGGGCAAAGATGGGAGGTAAGGATATTTTTCTGAAAGTATGCCACTAACTAAAAATAATGAGAAGGAAAAGCTTTAGCTAAGTGCCATATCCTTTTGCTACTGTGAGCTAGGGGAATGCAGGATTTTATGACACAGGTTCTTGTCAAGGATGCCTGGCAGGGATTGCATATGAGGGGCAACTTCTCTTGCTTTGATTCATAAAAAAACTTCCTTCACCTTTGACTATAAACAGATCACACACACACACACACACACACACACACACACACACACACACACACACACACAGCCATACCACATGCACACACACACCTAGGAGATAGGATTTATTTTCACTCCTGTTATCTGACTGATGGAGTCTGGCAGGGCTCTGGCCACTCTGCTTCCTTCCACTGTGGCTCGCATACTCTCCATCTTGTCTCGATGGGGAGGAATGCATTCATGATAACACAGACTGCTGCCAGTCATGATGGCCTCTCCTTTATCTCACTATCCACTGGGACTTATGATTTGGGTCACTAGTCGAGTGGTTCAAAGCAAAAGTCTCCAACTTCCTGCTATCAGATTTCACAACTAAGCATCTTATCTGTGGGTAGAAATGTCTGATGTTTAACAATGAAACACCTATCAGAGGAGAAATCCTTCATTCCTGGCTCAGGAGAAGTCTGGAGCCAAGAACTGTGTTTCATTGACAGACAAGACTAAGATACAAAGAGGTGTCTCAAATAGAACAGAGTTGTGCAAATAGGTCATGGAGCTTTCTGTTATTGCCTGGGACACATTCAGTGCCAGGCTGAAAAGGGCAGTAGGAGACACTGTAGAAGAAAGGGTGTTGTTAGCTGCATTCCTTGTCCAAATGCAAAAGTACCACAAACAAATATGAAAATCCTCAAACCCATCATCAGTGTTAAATGCATGCGAATGAGCCTGGCTTATTGTCACCGCTCTACTCTGCTCACAGAAGCAAACCTCAAAGGCACCAGAAATTAAAATTCATTGCAGCACACATACAGAGGAACACCAAGAAAGCAGACCATAGCTGCGTTGTGCAAGAGAGGAAAAAGAACCATTCCATGCAGCACACCAAACCAGGAAACTCTTTTCTCTCCTCTTTAATTATGTATGGAAAGCCTTAGCTGGGTGTGGAACTCTGCAGGCTTGTCATCTGCATTCTCTGGTTGCTGCTTGGTGGGAGGCAGGACAAGCTTTCTCTGCATCCAGGAAGGCAGTAAAAGCTGAAAGTCCTGCTCACAGTCCAGTGCTGGAAGATAGGCAGTCCTGTACAAACAGTCTTGTTGCCTAGCCAAGGGACTTCCCATTATGAAGGCCAGACTGGAAGCTTTCAGCTGACTCAGCAGGTTTTCAGGCTGGTAAAGAGGATGCAGTTGGCCCCTGGATTCTACTGTTAAGAGTGGAAGTCTAGCAATTTCACCCCAGAGAGCTTGTGGGGAGTGACTTCGTTCTATTATTTTTCAAGCACCAAGTGTTAAGGGGCAGAAGAAAGGGGCTGGGGCTCCTTCTATTACGTCCTCTGCAGTGAGACAAGGGTAGCCATGTTGTCAGAGGGCACAACTCCTTCCACCTTTCTCTGAGCAGCCCTTCCTTCTTGGGTTTCTTCCTTGCTCTCAGCCTTAATGGTGTGTGTGTGTGTGTGTGTGTGTGTGTGTGTGTGTGTGTGTGTGTGTGTAGTATTTCAGGGACAGTAAAATCTTGAGGAGATGCCATTCATTGTCCCACCTCAGGTTGTCCTAATCCTTTTCTGTTTTTAACAGAATGTCTATTTGGAAATGTCTCCTCAAGCATAGACGCTCCTACAAATAATCACCCTTATTTTTTTGATGGAGGCTTCTTTGCTTTATTGGTCAAACAGACAGCATGCTTAAGAAACCATTCAAGGCTGGGAGCCTCCATGCAGTCACAACTGTAGTCTGTGCTACTACTACGAACATCCAATCAGAGGCGCTGCCCAGAGCAGTCAGGCTCTGTACTCACTAGACAGGTCTGTGGTTGGAAGGACAGGCAGAGGCCAGGTTGCTATGGAAACATGAAGGACAGAAAGGGCACCAAAAGGTGAAGGTGAGAAGGGAGATAAAGCTTATATACCCATAAGAACAAACTGTGCATATATATATATCATATATATATATATATTCATCATCTACAGTAGGTCAGTCACTTATACTGTCTCCCTGATTTATTAATATTAATATAAATATTTTAGAGAGATTATCAGAGATTTTGCTGACAAAAAGCTCATGCAGCAAGAAATACTGGATCCCCCAATTATTCTTTCTAATAAATCCAGTTACTAGATGCTGGACGCTATGTCTTGTGTATTTTTATTTAATCACAATAAAAACACCAGCCAGGAAGGCCATGCTGTTGTGTGCTGCTCTGTGCCGATGCTGGTATCATATCAGTCACTTCTTCACTCCTTATCTCACCCACCACACCCTTGCTAGAAAGCCACATTCTAATTTCCAAAGAGTAGAAGGTCTGGAGCCTTCTCCACTCCTCAAGATTCAGGGGACAAAAGTATAGAACCAGGCTCAGCCTCTACCACAAAGGACCAGCTCATAGCCTGCTGGGCCAGCGATGCCAGTCAAGGGACAGCAAAGCAGAGCTTCATAAACACTGTGGTTTTCATTGTTTTTTTTTTTTTTTTTTTTTTTTACATGACTGGGGGACTTGTCAGTCATTTGATTTTAGGATGGAGATGAGCAAGCCTCACCTGAAAGGGTTAAGTGATTGGTGCAGATGCCACTTGCAAGGCACATCTGTGAGCAAGCACTGTTAATTTCCCCACAAATATTTATGAGAAGTCTATGCACTCACTTATGGATATGGTGAAAGCTACAGGCCTCACTATCTAATTTCAGTGCTTGAGTCCAACTAAAACAAAGGGTAAAAACACAACACCTCAAAGCATTTTATATGACCCTGCAGGCAGGGCAGATTTTGTTTTTTCCTTGGTAAATTCCTTTGGCTTTTCCAAATATCGGCTTTGGTCTGGCCTGCTGGGAATCATATCACAAACATATGGCCACCAAAGCGGCCCCAGGGCAGCCTTCTGCAGGGTTTCCTACCCAGAGCAAAGCTCTTCTCTAGCACACCCTAAGAGGCCCTGGGCCTATTTCTCTTTCCCTTTGCTTCTTTTAAAGCCTGATGTGACTTTACATCACCAGAGCTGAATTATCACCCGGTGACAGAGGAGCCTGGTGGCTGAGAAGCCACCTGCAGGGACATGGGTGAAGAAAGCAATACTCACTAGCTCGTGAAGACAACGGAGCAAGGGCGGAAGAGTTAGCAGGAGCCACTGGAGAAAGAAAAACGACGGTGAACAAAAAAGGAAAAATGGGTCATTGGAGACATACCGATGCTGAATTGAAAAAGAAAAAAAATGGGAGTAGTGATCCTGGGGTGCTGTGATGAGAGCAGATGTGAAGTAAGCTTGGAAAAAGGAGAAAAACTGCATGGAATGGGTGGCTGGCACATGACTGGAAAGTCCGATGCAGGGCTCTATTTTAAGTACAAACCATGACCAAAGACCCTGTTAAATCTGTCACACAGTTAAGGAATTGGCCAGAGCCAGCTGAAGAGGCCTCAAACCTTGGCTGAATATCAACAGCCATTGGGGAAGGACCACCTGGGCCTATGAGCTTGGAGAGACAGAGGACAGGCATCTGGGCCTCAACTTAATGGGAACTTTAGTAAGGAAAAATTGGCTTTTCATGTCACATTCTATATATGGGTTTATATATAGGCATATATCTTTATGCACTATGTATCTTTCTCATGTATATACATGTTTGCGTTAACAGACGCTTATCTACATCTATATGTAGGTTGATGTTGAGTGTTTTCTTCATTTGCTTTCCACCTTATTTAAAATGGCTTTATTTTAAATTGCATCTATGTGTATATGTCTGCGTGTAGATATACATGTATGTGCACGAGTGTAGGTGCCTGAGGAGACCAAAATGGGGCATCAAATCCTCCACAGCCGGATTACAGCTGCTGACATGGGTCCTGGAACTTAACTCTAGTCCCCTGCAAGAGTAGTGCATGCTCATAACCAGGGAGCCACCTTTCCTGCCATCAACTACCTTATTTTTCAAGATGGGGTCTCCCACTGAAAGTAGAGCTCACTGGTTCAGTTGGCTGACAGGGTAGGCAGCAAGTCTCAGAAATTCTGTTGTCTCTACATCCCCTTGGGATCACAGGCACTTGCTGCCATACTTGGCTTTCTTACATGAGTGCTGAGGATCGAACTTAGGTTCTCACTCTTGAACAGGTTATTTCCTGATTAAACACCTTCCTATTCATTACCTGGTACCTATAGCAAAACCTATACATCTCACTTTTTAACTCCAATAACTGTGTGAGATGGAATTGTCCATCTCACTGGGTACAGCCAGTTTTCATACAGAAGCCTCTGGAAACATGGCTGCTGTCCAAAAATCCTCCCTAGAGAAGGTGATTGTTTACACTGCTAGGGAAGAGTGAGACAAATGGCATTCAGTGTTATTCCCACTCCCCCAGAGTAAGGGACTGTTAAAGATACAGGGCCCTCACAAACAATCCTAACTATCCTTCACCATGGAGGATGGTTAGAGACTGTATGTCTGCCACACTGGGACACTGAATGGATCACTGGTGTTTAATTGACAAGTGTCCAGAAGTTGTCCTTCAGCAATAACACACACAGTCTCCTCCCAGAGCTCTGTGGTAAAAAGGAAAAGCATCAACCTATTGGCAGTGTGCTAAATCAATTTTCAGGGCTTGGTTTTCCAGGACCTTCCAAGTAAAGGTATCTGATGAAGCGCAGAGCCAACGTTCCCGGAGTCATAGCATTTTGGTTACTAAACTTTCATAAATAGGTGGCTCAGTTTATTTAGCTAGCTAAAAGTCTCTCTTACACTGTGTGTGTCTTAAGATATATAATTGTTCATATTATTTGGGAAAGGCCTGATATCTTATGAATTTTAATCATATGCATTGCAATTCATTTAAGATGTGCTGGCATGAGTTACAGAGGGGACAACATATCAAAAAAAAAAAAGTGTCTTTTTAAATGTGCAACATCTACACCTCAAAATACTCTATTTTGCTTCTTGGCACAGAATCATGACCAAAAGTTCCATCCAGGCAACGAAATTTGACAAGTGACAGAGCAAAAAGATTCAGGCAAACAGTTCTGTCAGGGAAGCAGCACCCCCACCCCTCCAGGCACCCAGATCAGGAACTTAATAGCAAAAGGGCTTGAGTTCATGCAGGCCTCGACCTTGAAAACACATGCAATGGAACATTCCTTAGGTTAGAGCTTAGTTTGTTGAGAGTCACAGCTCTTCTCATTCCATGTACTGTATTCAGAGAACCCTCAAACAGCTACATGGTGCTTCTCCTGGTGGCTGGGAGTCCTTAGTCCTTCACATGCTTGTGGCTTTTGCTAGTTTTGCCTGCTCATCTCTGCCTCTGATAAACCTGTACCCCTGAGTGTGCAGAGGTTTCCAAGGCAACCTATTACTGAAAGACAGCAACTCTATTAGGGAAAGACCTCAATGAACTTTAGCAGTTAGTTAACGCCAAACTCTGGTCTCAACTAACATGTCTCAACTCAGGAGTCTGGCAGCCAACATTTCCAGTCCTGTGCCTTCTCTCTCTTGGAGCTAGGAGTTACACTCTGGTCCCAACTCTAAAGCCCCAAGCTAGGCTGTGTACAGACACTTATAGTCCTATAGCACAGGGGAGTAGTGCCAGTGGATGAGCTTGGCGGCACACACAGCTCATCTGAGTTCAGGCAACTTTGTTGTCGTCTGAGAGGCCGAGCGAGGACACAGAGGAATGCCTTACTTAGACTTGCCACTTCATAGTACAAAAGGTGGGTTGGTCTCAGCAATGAGAAATGCTGACCTCATCTTCCCAATGGGATGGGCCCGAGCAGCAGGACTTGAGGCATACTTTCTGCTGTATTAAGAAGCAAACCCAAACTCGCAACAATCCTATCTTAATAAGGCCCAAGCTGAAAAGAAACTATTGCGACCTTGAGGGCCAAGACCAGTTCCTCTGAGTCAGCTGTAGCCACTGGGGAGAAGATATCCCACAGCGAGCCTCCTCCAGACCCCCCTCTCTCCAACCTAGCAAAGCTGGTCCTTGCTTAATGCCTTAGAGAAGGACCTGGAGGAAGCAGCTAAGGCTTGATGGAAGGATCCAGAAGAGCTTTCTCTCCACAGGTCCCCTGGGGCAGAGCTGTCTGTCAGTCCTAGCTGACTGCTCCTTTCCTGCACCCCCACTCCCACAGGCCTTGGTTCTGACACCTTCCCTAGCTGACGCACTCAGACACCAACTTGGCTGATCACCTCATAACCACACTCAGCTACTTCATTTTTGCTGTTGCTGCACTATTTCAAATACATTTTATAACAGAAGTGTCCTGGGGTGCCTGTCAGGGCCTAGCAGCTTTCTCCAAACTGCGCAGCTTTCTGAGTAGCTCTCCTTCTGGGTCTGTCAGGCACCTCCTCTCTCTGTTCTCTAGGAGCTCAGCCTAGGAAGAGAGAGGCCCACCTTAGCAAAGTGACATTGGGAGTTGGGTATCTCAGCAGGCTGAGGGGTCAGGCCAATTCTGCTCTCTGTAGCAGCTGCCATCTCTCGTTTCCCTTTTTCTATGTTGTCAGTTTACATAATTAGGGTGTCACTCCCATTGGGAATCTCTCCCTCACTCCAAGTTATACTAGGTAGTTACTAAGTTAACTGGCCAGGCTGTTCCCAGCATGGAAATGTACACTGTAAGTAATCTAGTGAGCATAAAGAGAGCTTAAAGAACTTAAGGCTCAGCCCCCTCTCCACCCTTACTTCAGGCAGCTGCCTGCAGGGCAGTGTACCCTGACACCTTTCTGTATGCCACTACAACAGGGGCTTCACCCCAGTAGGCTCTGCTCCTCTTTATCTACCAACTAATAGATAAAGCAGGAAGTGTGCACGCTCCATTCCTTTACTTCCTAAAAGCAAACGGGAAGATTATTTTTGGCTCTTTGAAACAGTGTCCTCAGGAGGCAGGTGTTACTCCTCTGGTACCATGGCTAAAAATGAGGGGCTGCTATTAGCTCAGTACCCGGAGACCATCTGCAGATTTCCACCATGCTTGGCTCAGCAAATCTCATCTTTCCCACAATGCAATCACGACACACAAAAACCAATAAATAAGCACAGTTTCAAAAGACATGGAAGTTGCATGCTCTAGAACAGAAGTGTTAGCCTCTTGGAGTAACCTATATACGTTAACGAAGGCACAGCTAGACTAAGGTCAGTGTGGTTAGGGCTCACACAGCATCATCTACTTCAGCCTCTAGGGGGACAAAGAGGGGGCCAGAACTAAATTATGAACTAGAACTAGATGTTAACACTATGAAAACAGGTAATGAGGTATGAACAGGCACTTACGTGGAGGAGGACTGTCTGCATTTCCCATGGATGGAACACAGACGAAAAGAAAAGCCAAGAGACAGACCCAGGGGAAAAAAAATAAGATGTAAAAGAAATGAACAGAATCCACAGAGCACATGGAGCTGAAACTCAAATTATCAAATTACTTCAAACAGAAAGAAACACTCCCTGCAGAAGGAAAATGAGGAGAGCTCCGCTATGGCTGGGAAGAGGTTAAGGGGGCTCTGTTTGTAGGCTCCCAGGCTTTTCAGAAAAAGAAGCAAAGGGCTCCCATGTGTGGATTAAATCAGAGGGTTTGGGAGAGTCTGGAGCTCCGTGGTCACCCAGGAGACCAGTTATATCTACACCATCTTCTTCAGCTGACCCAGGAGCTTGTGGGGCAGCAACGTGGACGGCAAAGGAAAGTGGCCAGCCAGAGCAAGGCCTGTCCAGAGCCTGGATGCTGTGGGAAAGGAAGGCTGAGCTTGGCAAGCATGGTTTAGGGATGGAGGGAATGACAGAGAGAAGCTAGGAACCTGGGGAAAGCAGCTTGCCTGAAAGAGTCCTTGAGGCAGATGGTCTGAGGAGTCGTCTTGGGAAGGAAGAATCAGGTAAGTCTAGGGCCCCTTTGAATAGTGGTGACCTGTTCCTCTTCTCAGAGGAGACTCTTCTATGTTTTTCCTTGCTATGACTTAATATTATCAGTGTATCAAAAGTACAAAAGGCACGAGCAGTCTGTCTCCATTGTCTTCCTTCAAGTTACAGGGTGCTTAGGGGCTTTTGTGGCCTGGCTCAAAAAGCAACTCAGCTCCTTCCACATGCCCCACTTTTGTCCCTCAGCTTGTCACCATAGTTAATAAGTGGTGGCCCCTGGCTGCTATTCTAATAAGCTGGGCCACTCACTAGGAGAGTGTCTTCCACCCATTTTGAGGATGAAGGAAGTACAGATTAGCCATCCCTGAGAACCAAAGAGTTAAGTGGGCCACAATGACCATAGGGACCCAAAGGACAAAAACTATCTTCTGAGTATGATGGATACAACTCAGGGTCCCTGTCTATCCCTGAGGAAAAGAAGAGGCTGAACGTGGAGAAGAGACAGAGGAGCTGGCTTTACTTACGGACTGGCTGTGTCTTGAACTCAGTGGCTGCGCTGATCTCACCCAGCCCCTTGCCGTTGAGGGCTGCCAGTCGTACTGCATACCTTGTTTCAGGCTTCAGGCCCATGATGGTGACAATGCCTTCCATGTTAGCTGTGGTGAGAATATGGGGCAGATTAAAGGAGAATGGCCGTGTACAGGGAAAACGGCGCTATGGAAAATGGTACGGTGGGTCTTCATTAGATTAAACACAGCCATTGTTTGGCAAATATGTAGAAGAATTGAAAGCAGGAGATAAACAGATACCTGTCCACTCATGATCACACTTGCAGTATTACCAAGAGTCCAAAGTCACAAGCAGCCCTGATGACTTACGTAACAGATGAATGGATCAATGAAATGCAGTGAGGATCAACATGGGGCATTTACCCAGTCTTACAGATGAAAGGTTGACATGTGCTACAATATGGATGAACCGTGAGACTATTTCGTTAAGTAAGGAAGTGGACACAAAGGGACAAATAGCATATGAGGCACTCCCATGAGGTGCATAGGGTGATCAGCTAGAGAGAGACAGTAGAATGGTGCTTACCAGGGGCCAGAAGGAGGTGGTGTAAGGGATTAGAACATGGAAATGTTATGAAGGTAGACAGAGGTGATGGTTGTGACTCGGGGCTGCTGGCTTGTATATTTAAAAATGATTAAATGCAAAGTTCATGTGGATTTAAAATATAAGCATAAATAACATCTTGAAAGAGAGGGGGCTGGGAGATGTCTTAGTGGGCGAAGTGTCTGCTGCCCATGCATGAAGGCCTGAGTTGAAATCCCCAGAAGGCATGTAAAATTTGGGAGTGGAGGTACACTCTGTAGCCCCAGCACAGGGAGGCTAGAGACAGTTGGGTCACAGATCACTGAGGTTCATTGGTCAGCTAGCCTAACTGAGTTAATGAATTTCAGAGTAAAAAATAAATAAATAAATAAATAAATGTGGAGAGTGATCTAGGAAAGATACTTGATGTTGACTTGGAGTGGGGTGGGGTGGGGGGGTTGATTTAATTTTGAAAGACATCACTGGATTGACTTAACTTGAGATAGAATAGATTTGGTTCAGGGTAGATCTGTCATCTTGCTGGCCTGGTAGCTGTCATCAGTACATGACAGTCCCTGGGAATAGACACCAAGAGGGGATGGCCAGTTGTCATGTTTCATTAGAGAAGCCACAGAGAGCAGAGCAGGGATGCTCTGCACTCACTTTCCCCACTATGCTCAGCAGCTGGTTAGCGCTTACATCTAGGAAGCATCTAAGAGGTTCTGTCTGTCCTGGCGAGGCCATGAGGTCTGGAGCAGGAAGGGACAGAAGGTTAACAGCTCTATGGAAGCATGACCCTAATGCTAGCTGGAGAGTTCCTAATTCTGGAGGAAACTGGGTGGGATGGCAGATGGTGACCCCTGCATGTTCCCTACCTACAAGGTCAGCAAAGGTCTGATGAATTTGAGGGCGTGTGTACTAGACTCACCTTCTTTGGCATCATACCACTTGAAATGCCACATTTCTTCACCCAGTGGCTTCCACTCAGCCTTGTATTTGAGGATGGGCACCCCACCTGTGGCTTCTGGTTCATCAAACTGCACCTGTGCTGTGCTGGAGTATGGTTCCACCCGGTCGATGGATGGAGAAGACGGTGTGTCTGTGAGAACACATATGGATACCCAGGTCACGTATGTACTTCAAGAGTATACTTTGAAATATGTTCCATGCTTCTGCTCCTTTGTGGGGATCTTATCAAAGAGTAAGAATCTTTGATTTTGGAGATTCCACTTTTCTAGCTCACTTCACATTCTCCTTAACCCATCCCAGAGTTAGATTCTCATCCTTCAAGTGGCTTCCTGCTTATTCACCATCCAGCTTTTCAGAGCCTGGATCTGTCTTCTACCTTAAAGTGTATGAGGCAGGCCAGCAAGGGCAAAGATGGTGTGGAGGTTACTAGGAAGGGCACTCACCTGCTTGAACGAGGATGAATTCTAAGGACTCCTGTCCAATGCGGTTCACTGCAGTACAGTTGTAGTTTCCAAAGTCATTTTCTGAGTCCGGGGTTACCTATAGAAGGAAGGACCACAGGGGTTACAAATGTCCCATGGATAGCCACATTCATCTTTGTTTCTTAGATATGGTTAGTTAAGAATAAACCCAGTGAAATATGCATTATCAATCACAGTGGGGAGAACCCAGTGGCACATTCTACTTTCCCATCCCAGCCTAGGACCATTGAAGCTGAGGATGGTGACCTCCTCAGAGAAAGGCTCAGTTTTTTCTCTGTCTAATGCTTCCCAGCTCAGGATGTGCCAGGGAAACAGCAGAAGTGATGGGACTCTTCCCATTATCACAGGGCCTGTTTTACCCTGCCCTTTCCCACACCCTAATTCACCTCCAAGTAGCTAGCAGACGGGGTGTTGTAGATCTTGATATTGCTGTAGTTGGAGCTTGGCAGCAACTGACCATCTCGGAACCAGGAGATGGTGGCACTTGGGTAGGCAAAGACCTCACAGGTGATGTTCACCTGGTTCCCTTCCCATGTGTACACAGCCACAGGGCCCTGAAGCTTGGGTGCATCTGCAATGAATGACAATGACCATTAGAACAACTACCACTTTCTTGGAACACCCACAACCTGTCTTCTGGCACTAGGAAGGTAGACATGACTCAAAGTAGAGTGGAATCCTGGACCAGTAGAGCTCTGGGACATTTTGGAATTCATGTGTACATGTTCTGCTTGAGAGAACTCAAGAGCATGAGTGGCTGCTGGGAAGCTTTAGGATGCTGTGTGGGTATGTGTGTGTGCCTGTGTTTGTGCGTCTCTGTGTGTGTCTGTGCATCTCTGTGTGTGTATATATGTCTGAGTGTGTGTGTGTGTGTGTATGTCTGAGTGTGTGTATCTGTGTGTGTATAAATATCTGTGTTTGTGTGACTCTCTGTGTGTATATGTCTGAGTGTGTGTGTGTGTGTGTGTGTGTGGGTGGGTGTGTGTGTGTGTGTGTGGTCTATACTTGGGGCCATAGCACTAGAACAGTTGAGGACCAACAGCCTTGGGGAATGAATAAGGTGTAACTTGCTAGTAAAGCTGAAGCTTATCTGTCTCCAGAATCCTATCCTCTGTTCCTCCCCTACCAATTCCTTCCCTAGTCACTCCTTACATTGAACTTCAAGGTACATGGACTGGGAGTCCTGGCCGATGGTGTTGCTGGCAGTGCAGATGTATTCTCCAGCATCTGTGTACTGGATGCTCTTCAGGGTCAGGGAGGACACACGAGCATGGCTGCGTACCACCATGTGCCCATCCAGAGTCTGCCAGGAGGAAAGGGACAGCATCAGAGTCTGAGGTGATGCAAAGGGCAGGGGCAACTAGATCAGTATGGCTCTAGGAGACAAGGTCAGTGTTTGTCTGTGACAAGTCTCTAGTCTTCTCTCTATGCCAACCTCTAATTTCACTTCACCTAGTTCATAATGGGGGAGAAAATGTGGGAGCAGAGTAGGAACTTTAACATAGTTCAAACAGAAAATGGGACTCAATCAATTTGCAGCATAGTAAGGTCACCCAAGAGTAGTCTGGGATGTATTAAAATGGAAGCAAAAGCCTTGGATGGCACACATTCCAGAAAAGCCTTGACTTTTGGGATCCTGGGGAACTAGCACTTGCCTCTGTCCTTTCCTTCTAGTCTGACTCTGCCAACACCTAGTTCCATGGTGTGTGAATGTGTACTAGGGAATGCCAATGACCCAAATGTAAGGAGTTGTGAAAGAAACATCCTTCCTGTAGATATATCTCTTCTCTGGATGCTTGGTAGCAAGACAAGAATCTTCATTTTTAATGGGAAACAAGTCAAAGCTCAGGCACTGCTGAGCTGAAAGCAATAGTCTTCTCTTGAAGAACAACACAAAGAGCCACAGCCTCACCACTCACCCAGAATCCTTTGTACCAAAGTCTGCCACCATCCCTAGTCATTAATACTATCATGAGTTTACTGAGTCTCCAGACTCATAAGGACTGCTAAGAAATTAGTGAGCACACTGTCCCTAGGCAATGGATATTAGAATATTGGCAATGGTTCCCTCCTTGATATTCTAAACAGAAGGGGTGCTAAGACCTCAAAGGGTCTAGGCATGTGCTCCTGAGCCAGAGTCCCCTGAAAACTGGTATACTCAAGAAGGACCCTATTCTGTGTGAGCTAGGATTCCTCATTAAGTCCAGCACAAGATTTTCAGTAGAGATGGAAGAGAGGGTGTGCTGCATCTGCCAAGGTATCAGCTTTGGTCTTCAGAGAATTAAGTGACACATAACCTCAGTTTCTATCAATATACTTTGTTGGAAGCCTGGGGGCACAGAATTGCACAATGTCCTTTGTCACTCACTCCAGGAAGTTGAAAAGAAAGGCCTTTCTGGCGTTGTACAACAGTCTTAGCAGATCTATGGCACAAAGTCCCTTTACCACCAGGGATCTGCACTGTTTGGATCAGGTCCACTTCAGTTATCTGTGTTCAATCTTGAAGCTAAACTATGCTTCCAGCAAGAGAAGGAAGGGCCAAAGAAAGTCATTTGTGCCTACAGCTCTGTGTGTCTCTTTCTCTCAGAGATGAATGCCCTGGTGTTCCCATTTGATCCGTAAATAGGGGAGGGTTGTTGGTCAAGAAGTTGTATCCTAGGAGATGATACACATTAATGAGAGGTGACAGGAGACTGTCCCAGAGAGCCCAGAGATATCAAATGTATTGGAGAAGCTAGATCCCAGGCCTCCATTTCCTGTAGGCTGGTAGTAACTATCTTAGAGTCTATTTTTGTATGTCAAACAAAATCTTCACCCATCAATCTGTATTAGGATCACTGAGAATATGAAATCATCCTTGCAGGTATCTCTAAAATGATGGCCTTATTTTCTTGTTACTCCTCTCTGCCTAAAGCACTATGTCATCAAAGGGAGAAGGGTCTGAAGGTCCACACATGGTCTTGTCAATTGTGGGATGGATGAATTGTGATGTTTTGTGAACTGGATCAGGCTTGTCCAGGTACTTCCATATACATAACTCTCAGGAACTCAAGAGAATATGACCACATGGAAAGGAGGCAAGGAGAATCACACGGGTAAGAGCATTAGCATGAAAGCAAGGGATGAACAGCATTTGCTCAGAAATGTCTGAAGACAAACTCTGTAAAAACAGTGTACTTTTTTTTTTATTAAATCTTGCCTCCCTGCCTACATTTCCCTGATTTCTGTCATTTAATGATGTCATCACACCAGTAGGCAATCCTCTATAGGGATTTCTTTTGTTGTAGTGGCTCACTGCAAGTTTGATGATGGGATTCTCCACCAGCTGTCCAGTCATCCCTTGGAGGATACACCGACAGACTCCAGTGTGATTGGTTTATTTCAACCTGAAATAATTTCTTCTGGCACAGGGACACATCCATAAGACACTCCAACCAAAAGTCCTGCTGACCACCCAGGCTCCTTCAGAGGAAGCAGTGAACTCAGGTAAGAGTGCACCAAGAATACTACAGCAATGAGATCTTTCTCTCTTTCTCTCTTTAAGAAAATATTTGTGGCTCTAATTATCCTCGGCAAAACAGTTTTCTCTCCTTTCCCAAATGAAAGCATTAAGCCCTTCAGAGCATCCAGAAAGAACCTGGCCACAACACAAGCCAGTCTTTGCACTCATCTGGCCTATGGTCTTCATCTCTGAATAAGTCAAACAGGAGAAAAATGGAACTTCAGAGCCCCATGGGGAGCATTCACTTGAAAGTCAATTATGTCCAAAGTGAAACATTCAAGATAAAAGACACTTCTGGAAAATGGAGTGGGGGTGTGTGCTTTCCTGGGAGTAAACCTATTATTTCCACTTATAATGATAATCCATTTAAAATCTCCTTAATGCTCCCTGATAAATCTCTGTGACTCCTCAAACCAGGTCTAACTCAGAATGACAGGGGAAGACACACAAGGCAAAGTAGAGTGAGCCCTGTAGCTGCAGAAGTTGGCCCTATCGTTAAACCTTCTCTCTCCCTTCCCCAAAGTCAATGGGGCCATAGTTTTGGGGCAATAAAACACTCAGCCTATGACAACACTAAGTGATTTCAAGGCCACAAAAATGAAGCATTACAGTGGGGACATATGCTTTAACTATAGTTCTTATGTCATGTCATCAAGGAAGGTACATTACAGAGATGAACTAGTTTTGATGATGGTAGACTGCTCTGGTACAGAAATGAACGTCCCTGCCAGGGGACAGGTGGGCGACTTTTAAATATTAAGCAGCATCCCATATTTATGGCTATGACCTGAACATGGACGTTATGTGTTCTGAATGGTTATCACCCAGAAAGACTAAGAGGGTACACTCATTGAATTAAAATATAGCATCTACTGGACCACTGGATCATCTTCTGTGATCACAGTTTTAAAGCTCCATTTGGAGAAAGACACAAAAGGGACTTTAATAAAGAGCATTCACAAATTAGTTTTTTGAGTCTCATCTGAAGACAGTCACTCTGTGTATTTGTGCATGTGTGAACTCATGCACATATGTGTGCCTATGTAGAAGCTAGGAGTCAAATCCAAGTGTCATCCTTCAGTAACCATCCACCTTGTTTTTAAAGAGCCTCTCACTGGGATATAGGGCTCAGTGATCAGGTTAGACTAGCTGGCCAATGAGCGCATGGATCCACTTGTGTGTTCTTCCCCAGTGCTGAGATTACAAGCACAAAACACCATACCTGGCTTCTAATATGAGTGCTAGCAATCAATACCAGGTCCTTGTGCTTGTGTGACACTTTCCTGACTGAGCTCTACCTGGTTTTTAATGTTCCAATTGGTCACTTATAGTTACACGAGCCAGGTAAAAAATGGTGAGCATGAATATAGGAAGGGTCTTCACATAGAGTAATGAAAAACAAAGGTTAATGCTTAGCTTCAGTTTTCAACCCCCAGTCCCATGTCACCTAAACTGAAGCAAATAGGCAGGGGAATTCCAAAGGCTAAATGCTACTGACTTTACAAAACATAAACCCATTTGTGCCAAATCACTCCAATCTTACAAATTTAATGCTTCATAAAAAGAACAGATAAGTTGAACGATTTGGAGAAACCAGTGAAAGATGTTGTTGGTGTTGCTTTTGACAGGAAGTGCAATGTGATAATTTACCAAGGCCAGTCATTATCAAATAAGTGAGCAACAAGATGAGTTGAGCTGGAAAGGAAAGGGCTGAGTGGGTTTTAGATCACTCACTCTGTGACTTTATGGTCCAGGCCACAGCCACCAGAGGAGAGTTAATTTTTTTATTTTTTTTTATTTTTTATTATTTCAAAATGCCTGGCTTGGGAATTGGGACAATTTATTTCTATCAGTACAATTACCTGGGTATGGTTTTACCAGCACCAGCAAGAGAATATGGTCCTGTTTTAGGAAATAATAAGGATTTGTTCCTCCACTCCCAACACAGCTTGCTTGCTCATCCTAAAAATGACACTATTTCTAGGTGATGTCTACTGCTATGGACCTAATCTTTAACTAAAGTGCTCATTAGGTTAGCAAGTCTGGTTATTAACTGTAATGGTGAGTAAAACTGAAGTGCTTTCAGAGCTAGAGACTGGCTAGTGGTCAGGTAAGCTATACCTCTTGCTTCTCTGGTCGAGTCCACGAAGCCTGGAGAGAACAAGATATAAAACACAACAAGAAGGCAGTAAAATGTCACATGTTGCTTTAGAGAACTCATACTGCATTCCGTGCACATGCAGCTTCTTCTTAATTTAGAAAAATTTTCAAGGCCCACTTTCATTGATATGACTATCCCCCAAATTAAATTTGGAAGTTAGCTGATGTTCAGCTCCCCCAACCCCCAACCTTATGCACGTTAAGATGTCTAAATCAAAGGTGAATTAAACTCTGTAGATATATGTATATATGGATATAGGCAGGCATATTCAATTTCTCCTATGGAAAACATCTTAAACAGTCTTCATAATTGTTGAGAGCACTATCTATTCTTATCAAATAATCTAGGGTGACTGAGAGAGTAGATTTTTTTCCCCCGCTGAATGTTTTAGACAGATTATCACACATGTATTAAAGCCATTTAATGCTCATGCAATTTTACAACTCAGCATGCATTTAATTAAAAGCTACGTTTTAAAACAAAGAAACAAAGCAAGGAACAGAGAGATACAGTGAGTGTGTGAGTATGAAGTCAGGAAAGTTTTGAAGATATTAAAAATCCTGGGCAGGGACAGTGGGCCTTTGTTGCTTAAAGTTAGAAAGGTCCCACATGGCATTTGGATGGAAGCATGGACCCTCTCCATCCAACTCACCACTTGTGTGAGAGAGAGAGAAGTCACACACATGAGGATTTGGAGAACTTCCTGCTCAAGCACATAAAATTTGTTTTGCTTAACTTCTCTGTTTTCAAACTCTGAGTCAAGGACATCAGAGTTGTATTGGTCTTTTCATTGGGGGGGCTTCCTGAATGACTGTCCTTGATGTTCAGATGGCAAAGGACCACAAGAGATGCTAAATCAGGGAATGTGGCTGAGTTAGTAAACAATAAGTTCATTAAATACAAGGCGCTTTTGTGAGACACAAGGATGGAAATGTTGGGTTACATTACATGATGCTGGGATGAAGGAGGAAGGAATAACAAACAGCATGCATAGACCAAAGTCACAGTGGGCCAACATGTCAGCTATAGTTGACAATTCTACAATACTAGAAAGCTTGTTTGTCACATGCCAGGGCTGTGTCATCAATACTTTTATTTTTTTAATGGAGCTATGTCATATATGGTTATTTTTTTTCCAAATTGGAAACTTCAGTGTCTCAGTCACAAACCACTAGTGTTCTATGGCTTTTAAAATAAGTGGTTGTTAGGGACACAAGTTTCTAGCATCCTGATTCTCCCCTTTGTGTCTGGTGAAATGTGGCAAATTTCTGCTTGGCTCCAACAATTTGGTAAAGGTTTGGTCCACTTTAAGGCAATCTGATATTCAAACCTATGCACTTAGGAAGCAAATTAGGCTATGATTAATCTCCAAATGTTGTTAGTTTTTGTTTATATATATATGTATATATATATGTGTGTGTGTGTGTGTGTGTGTGTGTGTGTGTGTGTGTGTGTGTTTATATGTATGTAAGTTAAAGCAAAGAACTTCTATACTCATATTAAGCATTCCCTATATACATTTGCCCAAATCTCAGCTCAAGCTCTGATTACTCAATGCAAAACATTTCCTGATGTATAAAAGTGGGCACTGAGCATATACCCATCAGGGTTTCCCCGTAGTGAAAAGAAAGGTTGGACTTTGAAAAAATTCAGAATTTCAAAAGGTCTTCTTATCTGTGGACACTCTGCTCTGATCTCAGCTCCTTGCCCTTCTTTTTCCTTAACAGTGAAGGACTCACGCACCCCTCTTCAGAGTCATCTCAAGGCACAGAGACATTCAAATAGCAAATGATGGATGTCTTTTTTTATTCCAGGGATTGAGTATGCAGATCATAATCCCTGGGTCTCACTCAATATGTAAATGGTGCCTGGAATGTAGCAACACTATGAGGAGTCTGTATAGGATGAGAAATGACATGACACAGCTTCATGATCTTCTAAAGTATCACAAACATCTTCACATGCGTGTGAAAACTAGCCCTCAATGTTATTCACTTTTCCCTTTTTCTCAGGATAATAATGATTGCTAAGGAATAGATCAACAGATGGATATCTGATCTACTTCACCAATATCGATATCAATCATCCAAAAATCACACTCATTTTAGCTATTAATAGTTGCTATCCTAAACCAACTCTGCATGCTAAAGCTTAATGGATTGACGAGACTGTCTCCAATAAGGATGAGACTCAGTCCAGAGACACAGTCAAGGGTATGCTATGACTATACTCATTTTGAATTCATTCCTTCTTTCCTTTATAAGGAAGAACAATTCTGATATTCTATTAGCAAGTCACTCCAGGTCTGTAGGTGAAAAACCCTTGTCTCCCTCTTCTAATGAGAAGGGTAGTGTCATAGTCAATCAATGATGTGAAAGACAAAGTTGCTTTAATCCATGTATCGTCTTTGCTAAAGGAACCAGAACCTCCAATAAAAGCTACCAGAATTACAGAAGATCATGGTTGCACTGTGACATCAAGCCCATCACTTTCGGAGCCCCTGACTCAGAAGGAATCTGAGGTCTCTGAAATTGGACCTTGTCCCAGTCAATATTTTCATCATTTGAATAAGGACTCACTCCAGTCTGGAAGCCATGCTAAGACAAATGTTAGGTGACAGCTGCATCTGGAAAGCTGCTGAATTACCTGCACTTGAGCATTATGCTTATTGCTGGGGGCCCCCCCGCTGACTGTCCTATCTCATTACTTTTAACATGCAGATATAGCATAAGGGGACAAGTCTGAACAGAAAAACTCCAACTTCCAGATTTATAAGTAAAATTGTCATGAGCAGTTAATCCCAACTGATGGTCTGAAATAGTGGTTCTCTAGGCAGAGAGAGTTTTAGTAATGATTAAAATTGGCTACCGGTATGGGAGGGTGAGAAATGGCAGATGTCTTGCACTGCATAGGACAGTCCCAGTGAAGGGAGAGTCTTCCTAAATGTCCAAATATGACTGTGGCTGAGAAACAAAACTGCGAAAATGAAATAAGTATAAAATTCTGCATGGTTGCTTAAGCGATCAATTTCATGAGAAGGCAACAGTTGATATGTTGCCAAAATGTAACTCGTATTATAGACCTACATATTCCAGGTGGCCATGCTATGGCATGACTGAAGGGCTAATGCTACTGAGACTGCATGATGTGTCTAGATCAAGATGGCCAGACTAAGACCTGTCCAGGCTACAGGGAGGCCATGAGGTCTTATTGAGTGCTAGGGATCGGAAGCTATCAAGTTATAGGACAACTATCAGGGTGAAGGATAGAGAAATCATGATATGACAGACTGGGAAATTCTGTGTAGCTGTTAAAGGAAAGAGAGTTGCAGCTTCTATTTCAGTGACTCAGATTCTGAGTGGCAGAGGTAGAGGGTTCCAAGTAGTGGAAGGGGAAAAGAGAACAGCTCTGTGTGATACTGTAACCACCACAAGTCATATAGGGCTGAGTGGCCTGGCAAGGATGCTAGAAAGTGAGCCATGTAGAACCACATAGTCAGAACAGGCTCTTCCAAAACCATCTCTTAGCCTGTGGCTCTATGGGACCTAACATTGGGGGGAGTGCTCATTTATTTCAATCATTAGATAAACTGGTACCTTTGTGATCTATCCAGATGAGCACCCTGATTTTATAAATGGCTTTCTTCATTTCTATAATTCAATGGTGCTGGTAATCTCAATACATAATTATATATAATGCGACTTTAGGTAGGAAATAATGTGAGGGGATGTTGCCATAGTAAAAATGATTGGATAGAATTCAACCTGCTCATAGACAGACCATGTTTCATCATTACCAGCCTCTACAATATCAGATTGGCATCAAGCTTCTTTGATGCCAATATTCAATTAGTAGAAGTGGCAACATTTTCTTGCCTAAGAATTTATTTAAGCAAACACATTGATGTGGTAGCATGATGAACCTTTCTGGAGGACTTGTTTTGACACTGACTGACTCATGCTCCATTAATGGCAGTTCAAGCAAACCTGAAGCTAGTCCACGGTAAAAGGATCTGTGATCTAATCTGTGCTGGGTTTAAATAGTTATCTCAGATCAAGACAGATGATCAATAGAGAAAACTGAGTTGTTACAAAAAGTCAGTCCCAGCTGGGCTTGAGATGGCTTTTTCATGATATCTTCAGTCTCAATATTTAGGGAGCATGAGTGCATATTAGTTCCTAGATATTTATTTTCATTTTGTAAAAATGAAATAGGTACAAGGCAGAAGTGCCATCCTATTAAAGACAAACCCCAAGTAGGCACAAATCTTAATAATCCTTCTTGTCTAGTTTAACTGTTGAGCTATTTCTAGAAATGACACAGAACTTAAAAATGTCGTTCATCTGAAATAGATGTTTTGTCCTTCACTGTAGGTCAGAGACACATACTGGGTCACTTGGACAAATCTACTTTGAAATCTAATATAGAAAGACCAGCCAAGCAGTGGCTGGTGGATTAAGCCCTGAAATGTACACTGGGTCCATATAACACACAAAGGAAGCTGAAATCTTAGCTGGGAATTTAAGTTCAGTGTTGGTAAAGAAATTATTGAAGTAAACACCTCACTTCTTAATTTAGCTGGCTTTTGCAGATCAAACAGCATATGTGAGTTTCAAAAATATTTAGCAGTTCCTCAGTTGAGTTTCTGTTAAATTGAATTCAACTCTGGGTATAAAATGTGCAAAAAGAGGAATGGGCTATTTGGAATAGAGCTTTCTGTTCCTTTAGATTTTGCTTTGTTTTCTGTCTCTGAGGTAGAGATCAATTCCTCAAATGCAAATTCTACTTTTAGCCCCAATGCTTAGTATTCTTCCTCTTGGTTTTACTTCAGTATGTTTCTAGAGATTTTCTGAGCATGGCAGAAGAGTGCATATCTATCATTTCTGACATTCTGGTCAATAGGCAATCCATTATACATACTCTTTACAGCTATGGCTATTACTCCTGTGTAGGTAACCAAGCTTTGGCCAACTAAAACAAAGTCTATTATTACAGGAGGTGCAAAATAATATTGGAGAGGTGCCATAAAAACATTATTTTTCTCTTTATATAGTGCTTCAGATTGAATATAGGGCCATGTGTTCTACCGTGTTGTTTGTTCTAATGATATCTACACTGATTTGCAACTCAGCACTTCTTGTTTTTTTTTCCTCACTAAGTAGCAAAGGGCTGCATGGTGTGGGGTTATCACCCCAACATTTATTTAGTACCAGTAATACATATAGTTTTTCAATGGCCTACAGATCCATGCACCTTAAAGCTAAATGTTCTCAGTCATTTTAACTAGCCAGGGAGTTACTACCACATTCTTAATCTTTGGCAAGTACATTACAGAACCCAGGGATAAGTACCATCATCTAGAAACTGCTAATTATTTTTGCCTTTAGAACGAAATGGAATCCAAATGTGACCAAGAATACAGGCAGACACAAAGGCAACCAAGCTTTTGTGCACAGAGTGCATACAGCATGAGTATATGAGACGCAAAGAAGAGAATTAATAGACTCGTTCTGATCCCTGTCACTTCTGGGAGACACTTTTCTGGGTGTGTCTGAGCTAACAACAACATCATCTGATGCCCCAGAATCTTGCTTGTCCTGGGTCCTCACAGATCCACAAGCCTGGGTCAGAAATTAACTATTGCCTCCCAGAAACATCTAGTTTGACCACACCCAGTACCAACATGTCCCTGACAATCTATACAGGGAACAGTGCCCATCCCACCATGAGAGGATGTTGAGTAGACCACAACCAGGCAGGCTGGAGGAGGGAGGTTGCAGGACCTACTGTGGCTATGGGTAACCACAACCCATTTTGCCACATGCCAAAAAGAACTGGGCCTGGGGTAGACTCGAGGTGTTTCAAGTCTGCATTCCATAGCCCTGAAACTCTTGGGCGACATTGTACCTTTTCTTCACTGCTGATGTTTCGGGTGGAAGTTCTCCAGGTGATGGAGGGGATGGGGTCTCCCGAGGCTTCACAGGTAAGAGTGACTTGTTCCTCTAGTTCCATGGCTGTCTGATTCTCTACATAGGTGATTTTGGGCTTTGCTAGAAAGAAAAAGCAACAACAACAACAACATCTCGATGAGTTTATCTGGTTATTTCACTCATTGGGGTTTAAGTGATAACATGTACCCATTTAAAAAGGGTTCTTATTTACTAAATATAGGGCTTAATTCTAGGAATAGCAGGAGACACAGAACTGAGTCCCTAAAGGTTCTGGTGGCACTGACATGACAGTCAGAGAAAGTCTCTGGAATATACAGACAATAAGGTGCTTAAGGCCTCCTTCGTAAGAGTGCTTCAGTGGCTCAAGCCTTCACATGGAGATGGTTTTAGGGCTGGGCCACAAGGTTTATAGCAGGTGCAAATGTGGGTGGATGGAATCATTTGAAGCTCAGAAAAAGTCTTGAAGGAAAGAAAAGGAGCAAAAGGAGGTGGAGAGGGAGGTAGGAATGGGGGGGGGAAGACAGGGGTGTTTCATGGGACAAGAGGACAAGGTTCAGCAGCAGGGATTTACCCATAAGCCAGAGAGACTCATGGATGGAGTTTTGTTGGAGCATGGAGTGGTCACTGAACCCCAAGAAGATTAGTTTAGGGGGAATTCTAGAACAGAGAAACCTGGTGGAAGCTTTGGATATGTGCTTCAGGGTAGGCTGAGGATGGAGAGGAGAGATCACTCTCCAAATGTTAGAAGTAATGCAGAGAACACAAACCTTCCAAAGCTGAGTTGAATCTGAAAACATTAGAGAAAATTGAATTTTCCTAATTTAAAACAATTGTACTCAGAAATTGCTGAACTTTCTGTAGAGGAGAAAAGATAAGGTTGCACAAATAATTTAGAGAAAAGGCAGGGTTTCAAAAAAAAGGCACAAAGCTAGAAGGACTACATTTCTTTTCTATTCAAATTCATAGTAACTGCAGGTCATCTAGGAAAATGAGGCCTGAGAAGATCTATATTGAAGTCTTCCATGATGCTTGAATAAACTGAAATCAGTGACAAATAGCCTGCTTCCAGATAAAAATTACCCAAATAGTTCATGTGGCTTCTTAACAACACCCACAGGACATTTAACAAAATATTTTCTCATGGATAGCACATGGACAAATGCTAATCCTGTATGGCCGAATGATGGTGAGATGACAGTTCATCCGCTCTAGCTGAAGCTTCCTATAGGAAGACTGCATGTCTTACCTTGATAAAGATGCCTTGTGGGAGGTCACAACTCACATCATATGAAATGAGGGTTCACGAGTATCAGATACTAACTTTTAGAGGGTAAAATAAAGCAAAGCAAAATTAAGATGCAATAGGACTTAAATTTCTAGGCCACCAAAGTGACCAAATGAAAGGCAAAGGAACAACAGACATAAGAGAACAGATAATCCCAGCATTGGGGAGGCAGAGGCAGATGGATCTCTGTGATTTCGAAGCCAGCCTGATCTTACAGAGACAGACAGAGAGAGAGAGAGAGAGAGAGAGAGAGAGAGAGAGAGAGAGAGAGAGAGAGAGAGAGAGAGGAGTTCTAAGACAGCCAGTACTACACAGAGAAATTCTGTCTTTAAAAAACAAACAAACAAAAAAACAAACAAAAGAGAAAAGAAAACCCTTACACAGATTCTCTAGATAGTGACTTGGGGGCTGGAGCTAGCTGGTTATACAATGGCCAAATTACTGGAAACTGAAACTTAGGAGTCTGAGACTTAGTGTTTTTAACCTTCTCCTGGCCCTCAGCACTTTGTCTTTGTCAAAGAAAAAGTAACAGAGGAAGGGTCAGGTAACATCTATTAACATTTGGTTTATGTGTCCCTATCTCCTAGATGGCTATAACGATTATATTCTACAAGTGTTTAGAAAAAGGGAAGCCACATTTTCCTACACTCCTATTGAACACAGTGGGGTTTCTTTTGTTTGCTTTTCTTATTTTGTTTTTGCAGGGACTCACTATACAGTTCTGGATAGCCTATAATTTGGTGTGAGACCAGTGTGGCCTCAAACTCACAGAGGTCTACTTGCCTTTGCCTTCCAATGTGCTAGGAATAAAAACATGGGCCAGCAACATGCTGTTGCCAAAGACTTTTTTTGTATAGGCTGCAGAGTATTGGAAGGGATGATTCCATCCTTTGGCCCTGAAAGCAGTACTCTTGTCAGCGCTAGAAGAAGGCAGGACCATCTAGGTGTTGAGGTTTATAAAATGTTCTCAGAAGCTCACAGGTTTGAACACATGGCCCCTGTTCGTTGGTGGTGGTGCTCTTTGTGAAAGTTATGGCAGTTTTAGTAGGTAGAGCTTTGCTGGAGGCAGAACATCACTGGGGGATTTGTAGCCTGACGCCACTTCCTGTTCCCTGTCTTGTTTCCTGTGTAGATGAGGTATGATCTACCTACTTGATTGCCGAAATCAGGCCTTTTCTCCTGTAAGTTGCTTTTTTTTTGGGGGGGGGGAGTCTGAGGATTCTATCTAAGCAACAGAAAATAAACACAACAAGGATGTTCTAAATAATTATATGGAGACAGAAAACACTATTGGACAAAAGGGACATACACAGAATGTCTCTTGCTTATAAAGGATTCCCTCCCTCTGAATGCTAGCAGCCGCAAGAGGGACCTCTCTAAGTTTCATCTTCTCATGGTGCTGCATGAGCTCTTGGCGTTTACACCATTCTTTTGTTGCCTCTCTGCCTCCCTGAGACCCAGTGCCTCCAATGGTTGTATCTCTCCTTGTAGTAGCTACTCTCCTATGGCTGTAATAAAGCACGGGACCAAGACAATTTATAGAAGAGTTTGTTTTGGCTTATGGTTCCAGAGGGATGGAGTCCCTCAGGGTGAAGTCATAGCAGAATCATTAGGCAGAGCAGCAGGAGCAAGGAGTTGAGAGTTCACATCTTTAAACCAAGCAGAGACAACTGGAAGCAAGGCAAGGCTATATATGCTCAAACCCTTCCCCACTCCCAAGTGGTCTATTTCTGACAGCAGAACCATACTTTCTATACTGACCTAAACAGTGCCAACAACTGGGACCAAGTGTCCAAATGCCTGAGTCCATTTCTCATTCAAACCATCACCCTCCTTTCTATCCTGTGAGTACTAGTTCACTGTTCTGCATTTTGTCACTCAGCAACAGCTGTATCTGCTCCAGTGCCAACTGTTTTTGGGAGCCTAGTCCAAGGAGACCCTGAAACTTTCTCCTTCTGCCCCCGGAGGCCTCTTGTTATCACCCACAAGTTTTGCTTTAGTCACAGGAGTCAGGTAACCAAGGATTCTGCTACCACTGAACTTGCCTCAGCTCATGGTGTCAGGTGACATCAAGGTCATTGGCACAGGCAAAATTATCTACAGAGGCAAAACATATTTTTTTTTCAGAAGGATCCACAGAGAATGGTAATGGAACTTCACAGCCAACACAGAATGCAGCTACTTAAGGAAAGGATCCCTTAGCTGATAACCAGGGCAACACATGACAGAGCACGTCTCAATCATAGGGTGTCATACTGCTTTTGTCATGTTCATTACATACTGACAGCTATCCTTTCTGAAGCCATCAGAGGTTTGCTCTCTTCTTTGCTACCCAAGGTGTAGGTCTCTTTTCCCCTTCAACACCATTACTGCAAAGCAAACCTTCTCAATCTAGCTCACGGATCTCTCAAGGCTGTAATCTAGAAGGGAAAGAATAGAGAGTGAAGAAAGATGTTCTAACTAGCTGGGCCCTTTTCCCCAGGCCCTTTGATCTCATACTAGTTGCCTCAACCAATTATAGAGATCAAGACAAGGAGGAGGGAAAGAGAGATTAGAAGGCAGAAAGGAGAGAGATAGGAGTTCAAGAAAGCTGAATGAGTTCTTGCAGCATTGCAGAGGATGCCGATTCTGGATTTGACACACTTGTTGCAGGTTCATGACTTCCTTGCTGACCTCTCTAAGAACCCAGCCACCTCTTCTCTGCTTGCATCACTGTGCTGTCTAGAGATCACCCATAAGTTTTGGAAAAGAAATTGGGTGTGTGTGCAGATGCAGATACACAGAGGTGTAGGGGTATAGGGATGATTTTGTTCATTCAGGACAAAGACTGGAGAAACAAATCCTGTCTTGCCTATTCTTCATCCCAATTTCTCTTTTCCTTACCACTTCCCCTGGCCTTATCCATTCTCTTCATCCTCCCATGGCCCTCCTGATCTGTTACCTGTCATTCCTGCCTGAGTCAATCATTGCTACCAAAGGGGCCTGGAAGAGGAACAAGAGCTGTTCTCAGCCATCCATGAGAGAGCTAAGTATGGTCCACAGAGCAGCCTCTTAAATGTTGGGTTATGACCCTGTGAAGTTACATGATGGCAAAGCAGAAGTAACAGAAAAGTTTAGCAATAGTAAAATGTTTCTGGACATGAAAAGGCCAGAAATTAAATCAAAATCAAATGCACAGTTGCTCCTGGCAGTGTTTGCCCATGTTGTATTGTGTGACTTCACTGCAGCCTTGGTTCTGAACACTCAGCATGTATATGCCATCCACCACACAATGCCAACAAACACTGGCTGCAAAGCCTCGGGCTCAGATTCAAGACCATTGTATGTTAGGAATTGTAGTGTTTTTATTACACATGAAAAGTTTTCTGCTCTTACAGAAACATAATGGCTTAATTATGGAAAACAATGACTTCAAGTATTTTCCTATCATCATGTAAGTATTAAATTGGTGTATCTTTAGATAATATTGTGTTAGAATGCTTGATTAAAAAAAATGCTGTTTGAGTTTCTGACTTGAGTTTCACAGAAAAATTATTCAATGAGTTCTGGCTTGGAACTGGAGACAGAATTTCCAACAGTTTTTGAAATGGTCCTAAATAAATGTCTGCCATTTTGTACTGTGTATTTATGCAAAGTGGTGTTCTCAGCCTTGATAATAAACAAAAACATCAAGCAACACTAAAGAACACAGAAGACATTCTGTATTCGGTAATATCAAATATTCAGCCAAGATTTAATTCTTTATTAAATAAACAAGTATGCCTACCTCATTGGTATGCAAATGTGCTTTTGGTTTTTAATAAGTGGGAAAGTATATTTATTCCAAAACCATAGTTTTAAAATAAGACTCTTTAAAAATTTCTCAGATAAAAATGACTTGCAAGTGGAAAGTATGCAGAGAACGTATGAGCAGCTTAGTGGTCTTATACTGTCTTCCACAAACCCATGCATTTCCTATGAGTGCAGATGAAGCAGAGGTGCTGACCCTTTGCATGGTGGTGCAGCCATCACTGCTTTCTCTGGGTGTGGATCCAGAAGCCATTGTTTTGCTTTGAATCATGATTCCTTATGAGGAGCACCTGAGCTCTTTGTAAAACAGGTTAATAACTGAGTCTACCTTAGAGGGCTATGATGAGGCGAGCAAAGGCTAATTTGTGGTTGTGTGGTATGGCACGTTCCTTCTGTGCTGGGTATTGCTGTTACTAGTATTACTTTGTGGGAACAGTGCCTTTAAATGTCCCCAGAGACAAGAGAGGACAACTTTATCTCAGGATCATCTCCCTATTACATGGGTCAAGCTTCAGTCACACGAACTAATGATCATTCCTTCAATTACTCAACTGCTCTTGCCAACTGTCCTAGGTGCTGGAGGCATATGTGTAAATCAACCAACCAGGCAGAGTCCCTGTCTACAGCAGCGCACAAGCAACACAGCATGTGTTTTCCAAGTAATGCCTGAAGCACTTGTCCTACCATTCAAAATGAAGCAGTGTATCACTTTGATGACTAACCTATGCCAGAGAGGATAGGAAGTCTTTTCCTATAAAATACCGTCATGCTGTTGCTATGGAGTCATTTAAAATGTCAGGGCTGGACATCTACACCTACCTGTGAATCTACTGATGGGAAGAGACCCTCCACAATGTTTTATTTTAAACCTGGCAATGTCTGGATTCACAGCAAACATTTGAATGGATAGTGCTGATTGACACTATCTGTTCTCTTCTGTATGTTTATGTTTATCTCTATCTTTGTGCTCCTCAGAGTCCGATTCTGCTTGTCTCTCTAGCCACTCTATCTAGCTGCAAAGGTGCTCAATATTTCTTAAATGAAGGGATAAATTAACAAATGCACCTGCCCTTCTCTGGCCTCATTCTCACCAGCATGGTCTGCAGTGCAGTGGTCTAACTGTGCTTCTTATACAGATAATCAGGCATCTTTGAGAGCTGCTACAGTACACCTTCTTTGCAACAAGTCCTTTTTGCACAGGCAGGCTAAAAAATGCATTTCAATTCTGAAATGCCTAGAAGTTTGACAATATTTTGTGACTTTCTATAACACACAGGCCAGTAAAGGAGGCAAAAGAAAAAAGAAACCATGAGACAACCTGCCAGGCACTGCTTTTTACTAAGGTAGTGTGAGTCTGGAGCTGTTTGAAAACCAGGGATAATCTGGAAGCTCCCATGAGTTCAGGTCAGCTGTCTCTGTGGGTTTCCCCTGCCATGATCTTGACCAGCTTTGTCCATACAACCCCTCCTTCCTCTCTTCAACTGGACTCCCGGAACTCAGCACAGGAAGCCTAGGCCTAGGCCCTCTGCATGGGGGTGACTGTTGGGGACCATCACCATCCTCACTACCTCAGGCTTCTGAGATAGAAAATTACTGCCTCTTAAGAAGTAAGCAGAATGTTCAGCAGAGCATTCCTAGATACAGGCTTGCAGTTTTACAACCAGTTAAAGAACAGCTCAGGATATTCCTCCTGCTACAGTTTTACAGCCAGTTAGATTAGTTCAGGGCATTACTTCTACTGACCCTTTCATCCTGCCCACTTGCAAACCCTGCTCACATCCTGCCTATGGTCCTATATAAGCCTCCCCTGAGAAAATAAAATTTGGAAGCTTGATCAGAATACTGTCTTTCTGTCATCCTTTTTTGTGTCCCTTGTTCTTCGATTCCCCTAGGTGTTTCCCAGTTCATCGTTGACTGCCCCGTGGGTCGGGCCAGGTGACAGTTGTGTAGCTTGGTCTGTTTGTGGGGACCCTAGCAGTGAGACCAGGATCTGTCCCTAGTGCATAAGCTAGCTTTTGGGAACCTATTCCCTATGTGGAGGATGCCTTGCTCAGCCTTGATGCAGGGGGTAGGAACTTGGCCCTGCCTCAACTTGACATGCCATATTTTGTTGACTTTCATGAGAGGCCTTACCCTTTCTGAATCGTGGATTGAGGGTAGGGGTGGAAAGAGGTGGGGGCAGCAGGAGGAGAGGAGGGAGGGGAAACTGTCATTGGTATGTAAAATAAATTAAAAAATTAAATAAAAAAGAAAACCAGGATAAAGCAATGTATCAGACAACCAACACACTCCCAGTGAAAGTTGAATGCTAATGTAGACTGGAAATAAATCATCCCCTATCAAACATGTCAAGAGGATTCGTTCAGGAATTGTTAGGTGCATGAAGACACAGTGAGTCCTGAAGGTGGTCAGTAGGGTGGTAGCTTGGATGGGGAGAGGCAAAAGCAGAGGTGAGGAGTGAATGCGTCATGGAAATGGGCTTGAGCTGAGGTCTGCATGATGACAAGAAGGCTGCTCAGGGCAGACCTATCTTAGGCAATTACATCTGAAGCAGAATAGCCCCCAAAGCAATGTTGCTGAGTCAGGGGATTAGTTTGGTGTGAGGCAGAGATAGAAAGGAGGCTGGTACGATTGCACAGCTTTCTCCATGGAGCAGACAGAGGAAAAGCTGGGAGTAGAGTACAAGCAGGAGTCAGGATACACTGGGCCATGGGATTAGTCTGGACTTCACTCAGCTGCATCTGGGATCTTGAGAAGAGGATGGGCATGGAGGCCATTCTGGCTATTGTGAGGAGAAGAGGCTGAGTGGAGCCAAGGTGGGGAGCAAGAAGACCAGCTAGAATGCTGTGAGCTATTGAATGGTTTCCTGGACTAAAGCTTGGGTGTCAGAGCAGGCAGCAAATGGCTGTCTTTTGGATACATGCCACAGTAGTGTGGGCATGCCTTGCTGATGGACAGAGTGTGTGGAGTAGGAGGATTGTGTCTGAACAGTGACCCTGACCCACACTGAACTGTACCTACCAAAGACCTTGAGATGGATGGATGCATCCTGCTCGCCAGCCTTGTTCTCAGCAATGCAGACATACTCAGCTTCATCATTTTTGTCCACGTTCCTGATGGTCAGCTCAGAACTGTCGTCACTGAAGATGTGCTTATCATCATCTTCCTCCTCATTTTCTATGGGTTCCCCATCCCTACACAGTTCGGAAATGCAAAGGATGAGATGTCTGAGAATGGAAGTAAGAGGTTTGTTTCTGATCCATTTCCACAGAATACACTGTGCTGATGGGACAGGCTCAGTCTACATAAAGGGGGAAGACCTCTGAGTAGCATTTACTGTTATATGCTTTTTATGCCTCTCATCAGTCTTTGGAGTCCATGCAAAAACTGTCAATAGCACTCATAAAGGTTTCAAAGAATCAGCCCCACAAGCCACACCCTCTGGACCTGCCCCCACAAGACTGAAAATGGAACAATAACCAAAGACACAGGCCAAGAGAACTTTCCAGGAAAGAGCCACTCCCCACCCTGATATTTTAGGAAGCCCATACCCATGCCACTGAAAAACCCACAGACAATGGGTTCTATGGGTCCCCCTTCTCCTCTCACCCATGACATAGGGCACAAGCCAGTTTCTTACTTTGTCCAGCTCATGGAAGGCTCTGGGAAGCCATCAGCATCACACACCAGGGTGACAGACTGGCCCAGGTTGGCAGTGGCATTCACGATGCTCTGTCTTGCCTGGACGGTGGGTGGTACTGAGGAGAAGAAGCATGTCAGGGATAGTTGTACACAACTTAAAAGTACCCGATGGCCCTGAGAAGAGGCATTTCTGGGCCAGCAGGTCGCAGAGTCACCTACCACCTGGGGGTCGTGACCTGGAGAGCTATAGCACTATTGTAAGTGATCTAAACTCACATAGCATTCTAAATAATTAATATAAAATGAACAAAAATTTGCCCACAAACACGCATTATTGTTTTTAAGTCCAGCTTTTATATTACCTCTTAACTCATGCTCATATGTTATTTGATTTACAGTGGCTATTTGCTATGATTTTTTTTTTCTTCAATCAATATGTGCTATATAAGAATGAAGGCTGGTGGGACTCCATGTCAAAAGGAGGCTTTCTATACTGGCAAAGGGTAGAAAATGCAGTTCCCAGTGCATGTCAGGTTGGTATGCTTCCAAAAGACACCAACTCGGCAGAGTGACATTTCTCTGCAACTGTCATAAACAACCTTGTGCACAAAGTGTTTCCACTGAAGGAATGAGAGGGGGAGAGTTTGGCAAGAAAATACATATCAATAACCAAAACAATTCAAATGCGATGTACTTATTTTCTTAGCACTGACATTATAATTTCCTGTAAACATCTTGCAAATGTCAGATCGATGCTATGGGTGTGTTTATTTGACACTGCAAATTAAGATTAATAAGCCCATGGACCATGATGTTGACTATTTTGAGACCTGAATTGATTGCAATATTTTCTCTGCCCATCAAACCAAGGGGACTAACTTCCTAATGGTGCTAACAACAGGGCCACTGGGGATGAAGAGGGATTTATTAGTAGAATGGGGACAGTTTTAGTTCTGCAAGACAATGAAGGGCATTTAATATCTACAAATGAGGGGAGACACTAAAAACTAGTGTGTTAATATGAAAATGTCCCCCTCTCAGAGGTCATGGTAGTGGAGAAAATTTCTGCTAAGACACAGGAATGAGTCAGAACAGGTCTATATCCAAGAAGAACTGGAGAGAACAGGAAGGACAGATCTCACCATTCACAATGACCTGAATGTCCTTGAAGTTGATCTCCCCCCGGGCCAGGATTCTGCCCTCACAGCGGTAAGTGCCCTCATCTGTTTTCTTGATGCCCCGAATCTGCAGGTAGTTGTTGGACAGGACTATGAATCGGACTGGAAGAGACAAGAGGCAGGTTCATCCAAGGTCAGTCACAGAACTCCACAATTAGGCAAACAAGCATCTGAGTATCTTGTTCTTGCTTTTTATTGGTTTGTGTTTTGTTATTTATGAGATAGAGTTTCACAGCGTGGTCCATTCTGGCCTGAAACTCGCTATATAGCCCAGGTTAGCCTCAAACATGCAACCATTCCCTGTATCAGTTTTTGTAGGCTGGTATTACAGACACATGACATAGCCTGGCTATTTTGAGCTTTTTATCTTGAGGGATGGGTTTTAGGCTGAAATGAGAAAAGTCACCCCTGGCCTTGAAATACTGATGAGATCAAGTCTACTAGGGACGTGTCTTTTGCTTGGGAGAGACAACTAGATGCTCAGACATACCAGTTCATATACACATCTGCTTGGGACCTAGAAATTGCATGTGGGTTCTGAGTCCCTGACTCTGTGTTTAGATGGAATGTGTCAGGGACTGCATTGGGGTGATGGTTCACGGGAACTCATGTCTTACCATCTTTTTTCAGGATGACGTCTCGGCCTTTGTGTTTCCAGATGATGGTTGGGGGCAGAGAGCTGACCACATCACACACAATCACCGCATCTTCCCCTTCCTTGAACTCCTGTGGGGTTGGGGCATTCTTGAACATGAGCTTCTCTGAAAGACAGCAGGAGGAGCAAAGTGAGAAAACCATACCTTCTCACTAGAACTGTGCTGAATGCACTTTATCCCAGGTCAGTTTCCACCAGTGTATAGGAGGGGCTTCTGCTTAGCTCAGTACTGTCTTTTGATGGATACAGAGCAGCTAGCATTAAGAGGGGTCTTTAGAGGGGAATGCTGTAGTGACAATGCACACATGTACAGTGATGAGTGGTGCATCTATCCTAAAATGATAGTGAGGGTCATTGGTTATTTTTTGGTCTTCCACTCTAACCCCAGCCCAACTTCTTGCAGCAGAGAATTTTGAAGAATGAATGGCAATAACAGTATGATAATCAACACCTACCTACTAGCTGTCACCTATCATGACTTGGGCCAACACTATGCATAGTAAGAAGGCAATGAGATGTCACTGTCAGGCCGGCTTTCAGTGACAATGGGAACTACTTTTTCTGAGCACCATCAAGTACTCACATATAATACTCCATCTCACTATATCATTGGGCTGTATCACTAGCAAATGTAAGAAGGGAAAACCTGAACCATATGTCTGTTATTGTCACTTAGAAGTCATGGAGGAACTCATGGTAGCCCTCTACAATGTGTAGTTTCTGGAGAATGGAAGACAGTGGGAATATAGACTCCTAAGACTGATAGAAACCAGCTGTATGGGTTCTGGGCTGATCATAGACCATTTGAGAATGTACCAGAACTCTTAGAAACTCAGGGACAGAAAAGGAACTACTAGGCCCTTACTGTTCCTCCTGTTGCCGCGTCTGTGCTTTGGCTACCTACCCATGTATCTTTCTAACCAAGTTGGGAGTGAAGAGTACATATGAGGGCTCTTACGGAAGATCTTCACGTTGACAGTGGCCTCGGACTGGGTGCCATCCTCGCCAGTGACCACACACTTGTAAATGCCAGCATCATCAATATTGGCATTGTAGATGGTGAGTGTAGAGGAGTCGTCATCGTTCCACACCACTGAGATCCGCTGCTGGTTCGGGCTCAACTTTTCCCCATTTGGGGAGAACCAGGAGATATCCTTATCTTTGGCTTCTCCTGCCACTAAGGATGAATAGATTATTTTCAGAGCACAGAACATGAGAAGATAAGCCCTGCCAGAGTGTCAGTGGATACCTAGTATGATGAGCTCCTTGTGGCAAAGACAAGAAAGGCTGGAAAAGGATCTCGATCATCAACCATGTCTGTTTCATTATATAATACCATTTCTTAGAGTTGAAAGAACTCACCAGCTGCCTGTGCCTGTGATGTTTTTATTGGTCCTCTCCTTGGGGAGGAACAATATTTTCTGTGAACCCACTGTGTCCCATGCACTCAGCTAGGGATGAATGTGTCTTATGGAATGTGATATAAAGGGTGTTAGTTTATCTGATTCTTGAGCTTCAGGACCTAGTTGGCCTGAGCCAGGTGATTAGAATGTAAAGTGTGGAGACTGGTCATCATCTGAGTTGAAGATAAGAGAAACTGGGTAATTCAAAAGTTAAGATTCTAGCCATTTTGACTGTATGAGTGACATTCTGATGCCTGTTGCACCAGTCAACCCCTTACAAGCTCTGGGGACACAGAACATACCTCCTCTCTCTGGGTACACTGCTATTGCTCAGCTGCCTCGGAGCCAGGCTGGGTCAGGATGAAGGAATCTCCAAGCCAGCGCTCCTTCTTTGTCCTACTTACTACCTGTATGGGGTAGCAGCCTGCACTGCTGAGCCCTGTGTAGATGCTTGGTAAAGCAATGCATTCTTCTTTTTGGGGCCCATCATGTTTTCAATAAATATCAAAATCTGCAAGATGTGTATGGGCACTAAGGCTATACCTTCAGATCATTGAAACTACTGTTATGACAACAGAGCTGGAGCAACTGTTTCCATGGGCCACAGCCCTCTGATCAAATGCAAATCATGGTGGCAGTTGAAGTTCCTTCCCACCCAAAGCTGCTTGTTAAATGCCACAGTTCACACCTCATTCAGTTCATTCCTGTTTCTGTTACATTCCAAATCCCAGGCATGTCATCTACAAGTTCTTTGAGGCCTAATTCCACATCCTTTCCTCCACTGGATGTTTCCCAGTTAAGATCAGGGGTATATTTCCTAAGGGAGCAAGAATACCAGTTCCTGGGCAGTGGTGGCGCATGCCTTTAATCCCAGCACTAGGGAGGAAGAGATAGAATGATCTCTGTGAGTTTGAGGCCAGCCTGGTCTACAGAGTGAGTGCCAGGAGAGAGGCTCAAAAGCTATACAGAGAAACCCTGTCTTAGAAAAACAAACAAACAAACAAACAAACAAACGAGATTGGTACAGATCCTATGCCAGGGTACAATAAAAAGTTGATTAAAAAAAATATCTAGAGGCAGGAGGGAGGGCCTAGTCCCTACTCCAAATGACTTGACAGATTTTGTTGATCCCTCCTGGAAGACATCACCCTCCCTATGGAGTAGGGGTGGGTGGGATGGGAGGGTGGTGGTGGGCGCATGGGAGGGAGGAAGAGAGAGAGGGAAAGGGAACTGGGATCATTATGTAAAATAAGAATAAAGAAAGAAAGAATATCAACTACAACATGTACCAGAGTTGTGCACATGTGTGGTGGTGATGGACAGAACCTATTGGATAATTGGAATAGTCAGGGAAAACCAAGGCGTGTGTCTTCACAACCAGCGCCACTCCCATTCAATGCACTTTCAAAACCTTGGATTTTCAAGGTCTGAGTAATTCTAAGACATGAACCTTAACTTTCTAAGTTCATGCCGTGTTCCAGAACTGTGCCAATAGACAAGGTACAAGACCTGTGATGATTCACTCTCTGGGGTGTATGCTGCTTTCCTACACACACTCTAGCATCAAGCAGGAACACAAATGGTATGCCATTATGAAGAGACAATCTCTGAGAATAGTCTGAAGTGGTTACAATACTGACCAAGAGGGTGCAATGGCCAGAATTCTAGGCGTGGCACTCCCAGATCCTGTTCTGGGGAATAGGCTTTGGAGCCAAGCTTTGTATGTGATGGAACCCAGACCCAGGACACTTGCCTTGACACAGGAAGAATTTGGACTCTCCAACACTGATTTCTCCTTGGCTGGGAACAATATCCACTTGCAGGGCAACTGGAAAAAAAAAAAAAAAAAAAAAAAAAAGGAAAAAGTTTAGTTCAAAAACACCTTTAAAATTCTGAGATCAAACCTCAGAGATTTCACTCAAAAAATGGGATTTTCAAAGTCAGCTTTAAAAAGACTACGAGGTTTATTTGGCTTCTGAGAACTTGCCACTATCAAAGTGACTTTACATAGTAGCCGGAAGTAGACACATCCCAGACGACTCCTACATGGCCCTGCTATCTGCTGTCATGAGTAGAAAGGTCTCCTGTGCAACTGACTAAACAACTATGCTTTGTATTCATAGAAAGAGTCAGATAGCCAGTTCTTTTGGGTGTCAGTCTGGCGTGGTCTCTAGGGCTGTTAAGAGCAGGCAGCTTGTCACCCCAGAACTATGCATAGGGCTAGCTTGCATATTCCCTACACTGCCATGCTCGATCCCTGTGAATGAGGTCCATTCTAAAGCAGGGATGCTGATGCGAGTCCACCTCACCCTGCAAAGTATAACCATCATGCCTATCTCCAGAGCTAGAAATAACATTAGCACAGCAATCAGTCTGCTGCGGTGCTCAGGTCCCACAGCCTGTGCTTTGTAGAATGCTTGCATCCCTTGTCTACTTTCCCTGAATTTTTATTTAAATATCCACACAGCCAGTCTCCCCATGGCACTGATAAGAAAAAAAAAAAAAAATACACAACACCAGATCTCACTAATGCCCGCTTCACTCTGCTTCTCGTTTATCTCCTCAAAGCAGATAACAACTGTTCACGAAAATGCAGTTTTAGGATGGGAAAACAGAATGCTTTATTCATTTGAAATCAACTTCCTTCTGCCTCTGCTCCCTTTAAGCAAATCTGGAAGGCAAAGGCTAGTACACATTGGGTTCTGTGGAGGGAGCTCCTCAGAGCCATTACGAAGCAAGCACCCCCCCCCCCTTCCAAAAGAAAAACAAAAAAAAAAAAGAAAAGAAAAAGGGTGGGTCATAGAGACTCTGAGCTCTCTTCCTTCCAACAGCCATTTTCTGTTCACAGTATAATGGAGGGAAAGCTCGTTGCCATGGTGACCGGCTTGCAGGCAGGGCTGGTGCAGTAGCTCTGAGTCTGGGCTCATGAGACAAGAGACTATAGTTGTGCTCAGCAGAATACAGGGATCAAAGGGCCTGCCTGGGGCAGGAAAGGGAGTGCACAGGGTGGGGGGAGGCAGTGTTGGAGGGTACAGCTTTCCTAACCATCCTGACAGGGCAGGTCCAGAGAAATTCCAGCAGTGGCTATGGAGGGAAAGGGTTGAAACAGAGGCAGCATGGAGGAAAAAATGGAAGGAAGAAAGGGATAAGGTAAAGGGTTCAGGGTCAAGGAGGGAGGGGAGCAGGCTGAGCTCTCCTCTATAGATCAGAGGCTGAGCTTGGACACATTCAAATACTGAACTGGAGGAAATGGTAAAATAATCTAGGGGGTGCTATCACCTCCACCTTGCTGTTGCCAACCAGTCTGGGGATCAGAGCTTAATTCTTACCCAACAACTGGTTCTCCCCATGTGGCCTCAACCTTTCTGTGCATAGCCCTTGGTACACACAGCTGAGCTGGAACATGATGCTGGCCAGGGAGGAGTTCACTGGTCCAGATACAACCAGCTGGGGTTGCTTTCCTCATCCTCTCTAGCAGGACTTAGGTGCTGCTCAGTTCTGCACTGTGACATCTCAGAGATCACCCTGCCCTGCCACCTTCACTTTCCAGACAGGGAGGAACGATAAAGGGATGTTCTTACAGTCATTTCTGGTTTCAGATCCGTGCTGTCGAGCCCAGGCCTCCTGATCTCTAAGCCCTCACTCACTTTGCAGTGTGATCTTCATGTAGTGGGAAGACATTCACCTTGAATGTAAGAAAGCATCTGGGCATGCTGAGTGACAGCTCTTAGCAAGGCCATTTCTTGGGGGAGTATAGAGAGCACAGGGTTAAGGTACTCTGCTATTCTGAGAGCTTGGGGCCTCATAGAGAAGGCTACAGGACAGAGCTATGAATCTGAAGGCCGACCAGAACCTCTCCCATCGCTTTTGGTGGCTCATACTTCATGTGCCTCCACCATGACTCACCTGAGCAGTATTCCTTTGTGGAGTGTCCACGGCATTGTCTAAAAGCAGAGACACACTGCTGTCTGCAAAGTTCATGGGCCATATGCTGAACATTAGCTGTCGGCCTCAACATACGGATCCTGTTACTTCAATGCCCTCACTGCTGGGGAATATTCTTATTCTGAGCGAAAAAACAGCCTTCACTTTAAAAAGAAAAAAAAGCTCCTTTCAAAAAAGAACATGACTCTCTAGGGGGAGTCAGGCTGAAGATCTTTCATATCCAAATGTGGCTAGGATCTATCTCTGGACAACTGAGAGAAAGAGAAATGTGAATTTCAAAGGAATTCCCAGCTTAACGGGATCCCTTACACACATTTATCATCGGTTCTAAAAACAGAAATCTTCCATGGAGACGGCTGGCCCTTTGCACACCAGGAAAAGAGACTGATTTCTGTCGCAAAGCACCAGATGGAGCTGGGACAGAGGAGCCTGGATGCTCTGGATGTTTTAGACTGTAGTCAGTGGCAGATTATTCTCCTGCACATGCGAAAACTTGCAATATTAGGTCTAATAATAAGAAGTGGAAACCCCATAGTAAAGTATAAACTCCAAACTCCATGCCGCCCCTGCTTGCTCCTTCCCTCCACACATACACATCTATTGCTACTTTTCATTGTTTTCAGTAAAATCTCCCAACATGTGTTTCTCCTTATTCTAGCTGTGTGTGCAAGATAATTTCCTAAGCAGGCACACCTTTAAAGACACTTGTGCAAGCATTGCTCTCAGATCACAGGTCTCATGGCCTGCTTTGTTTCAGCCTTCTCTGCATAAACACTGTCATCTAAGCTGCATATGAAGATTAATACTCACAACCCCAGGTATTTGGACCTGGGTGGGCTTTGCTGGTTGGGATAACACTGTCCAGTGATTTCCATGTTAAGCCTACCTGTAGCCAGTCTGCACTATTAGGTTTACAAAAGCCATTATTATACCAATCTAATTAACAGTTCAGAGAGATAAAACAGACAGAAGGTGCTGTATCATTGGCAGGAGAGGGAACTGAGATGCAGTTTCACTTAGATGGTGAGCAACTCAACAACAACAACAACAACAAAAATGAATGAATGAACATCATTTCATTCTAATGCTTCAGCTCATGTTTCCATTTTGTAACCATTTTGAGCCTCTGTGGGCACGCGTGCAAGTGTGTGTGTGTGTGTGTGTGTGTGTGTTGTGTAGGACAGAGTTCAATGTCAGGTGTCATTACTCAGGAGCCATCCACTTTGAGTTTTGAGGACAGTTTCTCTTATTGGCCTGGAGCTCATCCAATTAGGCTAATTTGGCTAGCAAGCCCCAAGGATCCTCCTGCCTTCACCTCCTCAGCACTGGTATTACAATACAAGCATATACCACCACACCAGGGTTTTTCATTTGCACCTTGCAGATAAAATACTATCTTCCAATGTTCCTAGAACCTTTTTTGAAGCATGTAAATTGACCTATTGCAACCTGTTAGTTTCCATTAGTTGTGTTTTCTTTCTGTCCAAATCATGGGTTAGATGTAGAATTTTGTAGAAAAATATTTCAATTACATTGCTGTCACCATTTCTCTGTGGTTAATGATAACTGTCCTCTTTGCTCTTAGATGATAATATGACTTCCATTTGACAGATGAGGGAGCAGAAGCTCAAGACCTTGATTAATAGTCAAGAATCATGCTCACAGTGGACAAAGTCCAAAGCCTCAGCTGTTTATCTCATACTATCACATAACCTCTGTGAATGAATATTTTTTAAAAAGTTCTGTCCTTTAATGAACAGAATAGTCCACATCTTCTTATCTCATGGAGAATGCTTGGTTTTAAAATATATTTGCCACTTTCCCCTCCAAACCCCCCCCCTCCAGGTCAATGAATGTTCTGGAAAGAATGCTTCCTCTTTTAGGTGTAGATAGATGTTTTATAACTCCAAGCTCCCTAGCAAAAGTAGGCTATAAAGTCATAACTACTGAAGAAAAGTGAATGAAAATTTCAGTTCATAGATGATGCTAAGGTACATATTAGGTAAAGCGACAACAAAGACTCATTCTGCTTTCCAAAGGAGTCATAGATTTTGCTTAAATCAGCATCTCCTCACAGCTTAACTTTACCAGTTTTCTTCAGATTCTAAATGTGTTTGTGGGGTAGGAGCTTCAGGTAGACAGTACACTAGGTCTCTGTGGCCACTTGGAAGATCTGCCATGTTGGGAGGTTATGAAGACATTGGCCATGGGAAAGATGAGACCACACTTGTGAATGGGCCCAGGCCCAAGTGGGCACTGCTGAGGAAGGTGTCTCAGAATTTATTAATTTAAGATGGATAAACTACAGAGCACAGCTCTGTTTAGTGACTATGCATGAGATGGAGGAATTTCCCAGAACCTATTTAGTAACAGCCAAGGATTTTTGAGAAAGGTATTGAATCACACCTTTTACAGTTATTTTGTTGGTTATTGCTTTAGAAATAAGCCTTAAGTGTTGCTATAGGCAGTCACCTCAGTGGAGAGATGTGGTTTTGTTTTTCCAAGTATCACTAGGGGGCTTTCTAAGGTGACTGTAGTTGCTGTAATTCCAGCCTCAGACAACCAGGACAGGAACATAGAAACGGAGAGCCCCTACTGACAGCGACATTTTACTCTCACTGCTAAACACATGGAACTCAAAGAAAGGAAAACAAACTAATTGTGGTAGTGTTGTGCTCAAGGCCCAGGTTCAGTCCATCTGTTGCAGTGTGAATCGTAGCTGATCTTGTGCTAGCTGTGTGATCATAGCCAAGTTACCTAACCTCTCAAGGCCTCCTCTGCAAAACAGAAAATAAAACCGCCAACAGCTTTGGAAAGGTTATGTGAAGTAATATTTGCAAAATCACATAATAAGCTCTCAGTGCTTGTATATTGTGTGCAGAA